AAGGGGGAAGGGAAACATGAAGTCTCTACCTTTGGGTAAAAGGTTAGGGCAGTCGTACCTCGGGCCGCATGAGAACCCAAAACTCCACTAAGGGGGAACCCGAGTCGGTTCTACGAGAAGGGCATGTCGTAATTCTTATCCTTAACAAACAAACCTAATAAATTGATTCGCACCAGAGTCCATGAAAAATTGAACGGGGGCAATTTTAAACAATGTTTCCTATAGGGGGTTGGTTCATTGGGAAATTATGTGCAAACAAAAAGGGGGTTTCATCAGAAAAGACTTGTTCCCCCATCCCCAAAATCATCTTGTCAGAGACATGTGAAGCAACATCATCCAGGTTGCTGCTCGAGACTGCTTTAAGCTTAAAGGAGTTTGAACGGGATGGTGTACTCATTTCACCCACTGTCACCAGGGCGGTTTTACTGGGGCGCTCGAATTCCCCCAATTGGAAGAACGAGCCTGGTTCTGGTTTTTTTGAGAAGTGAATGAATGGCTGGTTCTGGTTTTTTAAATTTAAAGAATAACCTTCTGGTTATTTTGAAAACCACGAGATTGTTTTTCCCCTACGGTTCTGCGGTTTTAAAAGACCACGAAAGACCTGAGTACGAAAGGGTTTTGAGAGCATTACACCAGAGTGATGCCATGTATTCTTATAAGTACAGTAGGGGGAATGAACCTCATCAGTAAGACGTCTCTTAGGGTAAAAAGACAATTAATTCAATAGGGCCACGGGAAACCCCCAGTTGTAACAATTTCCCCCGACTAGGGGTTTTGAATGTCTATAATACTATGGTGTATAAACCTGTACACGGTTCTTGGGATCTCTGAGAGTTGACGATACGATTTGTCTCTGTGGGGAAAAAAGAGGTGGTGCAGACTGAGGCATATTGTAACATTTCTTTTTTAAAAAAGGGAAAGTACCCCGGGGGCCAAGGGGAAAGTACATGATTTAAGGCTTAAGTTTTTCCATCGTTACAGTTGGAGATCCCTCATAAGCACACACAGAAACAGCCATTAGTTCTTTTAAATTTCTCCAAAAGCTGCTATTTTTGCAATTTTTCTGTAAATGGTTTTAGCCTCGTCAGGGAAAAAGAGATGATTTGGCACATTTATAAATGAGATAAAATTTGTCTAATCTAACAGCAAATCACTCAAGATTCAGACTCATGGGGGGGAGCATTCACTAGTTCCCTAAAACAACATATGGATCAGCTGTTTTTATGGGGCAAGGAAAGAACGAATCATTTTTCCCCATATTTTGACCACTTAGTAAGATTTCCTGAAGTCTGCATATCAAGGGGAAACAACAACGTGAACAGCAGCAGGGGGATCATAAAAAGCTTCTTTACAATTTGATAAAGGGTTTCCTCTGAAGGGGGACCTTCACCTAGGGGCCCAGCCGAGAACGAAAGGCTGCAAAACCACTTCAAACTAGTACATGGGCCCTTTAATAAAGTAACGCTCAAGGGAATCACGAGTATAACATAATATCCGGTTCTGAGTCGGTCGTCAGTCGGAAGGAACTGGGGACGAGAAGGACCAGCAGTTAGCCTGAGAGGTCGAGGTCGCATTCACTAAAGTATCACTTACGGGATGTGGACATAAGGCAAAGTAACACGAGAACAAAAAAAGCAAAAAAATGAACAATAAAAAGATATAAAATTCTAGAATTTAAATAAAAGAATACAACAAAATTTTGCAAATAATTTTAAAAACACTGCAAGAGGAAAGGAAAACCAATTTAAAAAACTATTTACCAAAAAAAAAAAAATTTACATTGAAATATACAAGTAAAAAAATTTCTGGGAGACTGAATTTTAAATTTAAAAAGCTGTCTTTACTCTTTTAATAAAAAAAAAAAATTTAAATTAAAATTTTTTAAATCAAGTGAAAGTGAAAATAAAATTATTAAATTTTTAATGGAAATTTTTGTATTTTTTTTAAGAATGCATAAAAAAAATTAAAAAAAAATATAAAAAAAATAAAAGAAATAATTCACTGCAGAACATTAACAAAATAATTCACTTAGAACAAGTGCAACAAAATAAGGTGTAAAACAATCACTGCAGTAATAAAGTTCACGGGGAAAAATCAGGAAAAAAAATGAATTAAAATATGAAGACCAAAAAAAAAACTGATTGAACACTTTAAATCTTAATTTTAAATTAACAAAACAATTTACTCAAAACAGAGTAAAAAAACCTTTTCGTTAAAAGTAAATTTAAATTTCATCAAAGTAATTTGTTCAAATTTAAAAAAAAAAACACGGACAAAACAGGGAATATAACACTACGGACGGAGCACCCCAAAAGTATTAGTTTATTTTACACAAATTTTTGCTTTTACGTACAACAAAATTTGCTGTGGGCTAACGACAAAAATTTTTCTGGCAAAAATAAGGAACAAGTCTGCGAAAAAATTTAAAGGGAAAGAGACCTGTTTTCATACGAAAAAAAAGACACACATAAAATAAATTTTATAATTTGGTATGCTGAAAAAATACAATAAAAAAAAATGAATCACTTCACCAGGGTGACTGACTGGGACCACCAATAATCTATAGGACAGGAGTAGCTAAAAAAAACACAGGGAAAAAAAAAATTAGATAAATAAAACACTGAAAAAATTTTAAAAATTAAGAAAAAATCAAAAAAAAACGAAAACACAAGTTTGAGTACACAAACAATTACTTAAAGTTCACACACCAAAGCTTTTAAAAGCAAGAAAAATTTCTCAAGAAAATTATCACTGAAGTGGGAGTAGGGACGGCGGGGAGTACTGTGGGGGCGGGTTTTAAAGGTGTCCCCCGGTGATGACCCTCCCCATTCATTTGTCGGAAGAAGTGCTTTCTAGGGGAAATCAATAACTGGCTTTACTCGCTGGCACCAGCTACAATCTCTTTACCAATTATGTGAGCCAAAAAAGTCAGGGCCCCGGGGACAAGGGGGCAAACAAACCCCAGGTAGATGAGTGGAGGGTGTGGCGGTTTGGTGGGTGTGCTCTGTGGGGGACTGCCGCGCACCCCGGTGGTGGGAGAGAGTGGTGGGGGGGGGGCCTGGGGGTTGCCGCGCACCCCCCTCACCCACAAGATGGGTTTTAAAAACCCACTTTGCCCCAGGAATGGGAAAAACCCCTCTTAGCAACCAACAGGGAGACAAAGCGATTAAACAATACCTCAAGGGGCTTGGCTTTTCTTTTATGCGTCTTACTTCTCTCTCTCACTGGGTTAGAAGCGGGTTGGCTGACTGGTTACCCCACGAAATGGGTGACTGGGGACGGGAAAGTGCACAAAGCACGGGGACATTTGGTGACAGGAGAAGGCTGGATATAGGGTGACTGGGTTCCTTTCCACAGCCCCGGGTTACGCTGGCTTAATTGCAAAACCGGGTCAACCCCTCGGGGATTTAAGCAATTAGCACCGAACAACCAGGAACTTTAAACGGCTGCAAAAGGCTTGCAGGCAGTAGGTTTGAGGGGATAGGCGCTGGCTCGAGGTGTGCGCGAGGGTAAGCTGGGGCCGAGGTGGGGCGGGGGGGTAGTGGGTGGGGGTGCGATTCCCTTTGACCCTGGTGCACTCCACAAACAGCCTTCTAACGCCTTGAATTACCCTTAAAAACGTAAATCCACGCTCCCAATAACCGCTGTACACCATTTATCATGTGGGAGTTCGATACGTGGATTAGGTAGAAATACTCACGTGGGCTGTTATTACGTAAATCGTAGATATGTGGAGAGAACCCGCAGCCGTTACCTGTCTCCTTGGTTACACTCGTAAAACTGGCTAGCCGGCTGGCCAGTACCCCGTAGTGGGTCTTTTGAAATAATTTTCAGCTCAGCACAGACCGTGACTAAAGACGGTTGGTTCGTTGAGTCAACGGACAGGTTACTGGTACTTGGTTACTACTACTGAACGGGTAACTGGTTATACTACTGAGAGTGTATCATTTGCTGCTCCACTCAACCTTAAATGTATAAAACAGCATTCACCTAGGGTGAATTGGGCCAGTCTCTGAAATAGGAGAGTTTTTCTTTTTTTGCTGCTTCCCCCATTTTCTCTGCTTTGAATTTTCCCTGCTGATAGGGGCCAATATCTATGAGACCCAAATATTAAAGTTTTTTATAATGATACGATATGACATTTGACGGAATTTGGTGATAGTTGTCATTTCCCCAATGTTGTGGTTGCTAGATCATTACTTAAGTTTAATGTTGATGGGCTTCTTTTAAAGCTTCTGTTACTGTTTTAAATTTTCATGCCTTCATCTTTTTGGCACCTGGCACTGGCCGGTTTGATGCCATCTCATTTAGCTAGTCGTTCCCTTGAACGGATCTACCTGGACTTCCCACTAATTTCTGCAACATTGCAAATTCCTGATGTTTGATTGCAACACGAAATACCTAGAGCTATCATTCAACTCCCCTTGTTTGCATCTTATATCGCTTGTTTGCGATTTTTCATATATAATAATATATATATATATATATATTTTATAATATATATATATATATATATATATAAATATATATATATTATTTGGGGTCCACCTCTGGTGTAAATTGTGGGACCCATAGCCTTGGAGAAGTGGATAAAAAGGCTTCAAGGAAGAATATTTGGATTTCTTCCTGAAGCCATTTGAATATTCCACTTCCCCTACCACCCCATCTTTTAAACTATTTTTTTTACCAATAGGAATATTTTATTACATAATATGGCACAGAAGATTTATATATATATAATATATATATATATATATATATATATATATATATATATATATATATATATATATATATATATATATATATATATATATATATTATACATGTGTGTGCGTGTGTGTGTACTCACCTATTGTGTTGCAGGGTCGAGACTCAGCTCCTGCCCCGCCTCTTCACTGATCGCTACGTGTGTGTGTGTTGTGTGTGTGTGTGTTGTTGTGTGTGTGTGTGTGTGTGGTGTGGTGTGTGTGTAAATTCTAATAATTATTTGTGTACAGGCGATGCAGCGCTTCACAATTGATTACAAGTATGAAGACATTGAAGTTGTGTGTCGCCTGGTGTTTTCCTCTGCTACACCACTCAAGTTCAGCGTCACGGAGAGGCGCTGACTCCACTGTAAGAGACGCTGACCAACTGCTGTCAGAAACGCTGATTCAACAACTACGACATTTTCAAACTTGAAGTGTTATTTTTACTCGATATTTTTTTTTTATAAAATTACTATGTACTTTTTTTTGCATTTATAAGACGTATTTGATTTTTAATACATTATACCTTATGTAGATGTGTATATGAAAAACATCATTTTATGTATGTATAAGCCTGAATACTCTGCAAAATAAATAAATTTCAAACTAGGCATTATCAGATATAACAAAGTTTCATTACGAAAAATACACAACTGTTAAGAAAATTATTGCATATATATGTATATATATATATATATATATATATATATATATATTATATATATATATATATATATATATATATATATATATAAAATATTATATATATATATATATATATATATATATATATTGACCCTCCCTGACATTGCAGCAGGCGAAGAACATCTAACCTTACAGGATGCTGATGTGTATAAAGCTGCTATGTCATTTCCACAGGTTCAGCAGGAGGTTTCACCGGTTAAGGCCTCAACACTTAAAACAAATACTCAATCCAGCACTTGGTGAGGTTATCAGAGAGGCTGCTGTCTGAACTCACCAAATTTTCCAACCTGTGCCTGGCTGGCGGTGTCCCAAGGCCATCAGACCCTTTTTCTTTGGTGCCTCATTGTGTGCCCTCCGGAAAAAGGATGGCGGAATCAGGCCCATTGCAGTGGGTAACACCCTTCGGCGCCTAGTCGCCAAGGCTGCAGTAAGAAGGGTGAGTCAAGAGGCTGCTGCAATGCTGAAACCAACTCAGCTCGGTTTCGGCTTTCAACGGGGCTGCGAAGCAGCTCCCCACGCAGCACGAGTATATATCAAAAAATGTCCTATGAAAAAGCCTTGGTCAAATTGGACTTTGCCAATGCTTTCCCAACTCAGTCAGAAGGGATGCTGCTCTCCAAGCAGTTTATAGAAACTTCCCTTCCCTTTATCCCTTCATAGAATCGTGTTAATAGTGTACTTCCAAACTATTGTTTGGGGACCATGAAATTGACTCGTGTGAGGCGTGCAACAGGGGACCCTCTCGCCCCCTTTCTATTTTGTTTGGCCCATCAGGAAGTCAAGGAGGCACTCTCCAGCGAGCTCAATATCTGGTTCCTGGACGACGGTACCCTGGCTGGCACAAACCAGAATCTCTCCTGGGGGACATCAGTAAAATTAAAGACAAGGGAGAAAGCCTGGCCTTTCTTTAAACCCCACCAAATGTGAAATAGTTTCTACCAATCAACAGCTGATCCCCGAATATTTGTACCGTTTTTTACCAGGAGCACGAGCCATTGATCCACCAATAGCACTCTCCTCGGTGCTCCTCTTTGGGGCCCAAAGCCATCGATCTGGTCCTAGGAAAAAAAGTCTCAGACTCCGACGATGGGAAAACAGGATGAAAGACATTGACACCACGATGCCTTCTACCTACTCACCGGGTGCCTGTCAACCCCAAAACTTACCTATTTTCTGAGTGCTCCCCACCTTCAGCACCCAAAAACTAAAGGAAATTTGACCTCCCCTGAAGGCCATGCTAGAGAGTGTATTGAATCTTTCCTGACGTGGACATTTTTGCAACCCCCCTTTCCGGTCGGGTTTGGAGGGCTGGGATAGCAGATCCTCCCAATGCTCTACCACTTCCTATCCTCTTCCTTGCATAAAACGAGTTGAAGAAAATTTTCCCTGACACCCCATGACCAGCAGGAAGAAAAACCCTACTAGTCGTGCCATCACCGAATGGAACCTTGCTGCTCCAGCACCAACCCTAGTCGCACTGGCTAAAAAAAACAGTAAAGCGGGTTTTAGCCAATTGCAAAAAGGGCTTCCCAACATCCGGGCTCAAATCAATGGGAGATTGCCCGTCTCCGGGCTGTGAGGCACATCCCCGGGGACTTCCTCCAAACATTCCCAATCGCATGGGAACGCGCTCGCCCCTAAGCCCCTCCTAGCGTCTCTGCGCCTTGCTCCCCCAATTCACACAAAAATTTATGTGTATTTGGGGCGAAGTGCAAGCGCCCAATACGGTCTCATGGCTTACTTTCCCAAAAAAACCAAGGGCTGGCATCAAGACACAATGGGGCAACGAAAATTTTAAAGAGAACCCTTGCAAAGCGGATGCCCTCCGAAGGGAGCCACGATCACTTCAGCAAAAATACCCACAACCCAGCAAACCGCCCCAGGGGTCACCATCTATCCAAAAAGAATGGAAAGCTTTAGCATGGGACAAACCCTGTGTGTCCACACGGTGACCCCTAATCCATCACAGTGTGGGGCGACGGGGAGGAGCTGCTGCCCAAAGGGAGGAGTACAAGTCACAAGTACAGGGGCATTACCAAAAGTATCAATTTTTCCCATGGGGGTAGAACCTTGGGGTCATGGGGAAAAAAAACCCCCTTTCCTTAAAGAATGGTTTTTAATATCGACACCACCGGGGGCCCCAAGGGGAGCCATTTTCATGTTCCAGCGCCTCAGCGTCGCCATCCAGAGGGGGAAAAGCTTGCTGCATACTGGCTCCGCCAGCCCGGGGGAGCTGGAGGAAAATTATATTTTTTGATACATTGCCATTGTATTCAGTTTATTTTTTTTTCTGTAAAAGATTTTTTTTTTTAATAAATGTTCCATAGAATAAAAAAAATAGGGGGGGTAGGAGAAGAAAAATTCAAACGCTCCGGGGGAAACCTTTATTTTCTCGGTACGTTTATTTTCTTCTTAGGTGAGGTCCCCTTCCAGCATAAGGTGGTACTTCCCCATATATATATATATATATAAATAAATTATAATATAAAATATATATATATTAAAATATATATAATATATATATATATATATAATGGGGGGGGGTTGAAGAGGGGGGGTTTGGGAAAAGTTTTAAAAAAGCAGTATAGAAGTGGGCAGAAGTTTTGGGTTTTAGGAGGGGGGGAGCAGGAGGAAAGAGGGGGTTGGGGGAATGATAACAAGGGGGGATAAAAGAGAAAAAAGGTAGCTTTGGAGGTTTTTTAAAAAAGAAGTGTTTTAAAAAGAGCAGAGTATATGGGGGAGTAAAAGAAAGGGAAAGAGAGTGGTGAAGAGTGCAAAAGGAAGGGGAGATGATAGAGTGGGGGGGGCACTGTCAAGAAAAATTTTTAAAGAAAAAAAAAAAAATTTTGGAGTGAGTTAAACAAGTTAAGAAAGCCCAGGAAAAAATTGGTTTGTCGTTAAAAAAATAGTAGGGGAGTTTGTAGATGGGGGGATGGAGGATTGGGTAATGGGGAGAATATTTTGGGAAATTTTAAATGTTAAGGA